AGTTCGTGTGGGATGGATGAAATTTAGGGAACTGGGTGGGGTATTGTGTGGAAAGAAATGGTCAGTGAAGATGAAAGGGAGGGTATATAAAGCATGTGTGAGAGCAGCGATGATATATGGTGGTGAAACTTGGGTGTTGAGGAGAGAGGAGGAAAGTGTACTGCAGAGGGCTGAAAGAGCTATGGTGAGGATGATGTGTGGGGTTAAAGTGAAGGATAGGAGGAGTAGTACAGAGCTGATGTCAATGATGGGACTGAATGAGGACATTGTGACATTGATAAGGAGATCGAGATTGCGGTGGTATGGACATGTGTTGAGAAGGGATGAAAGGGTCGGGATTAGGCGAGCGTTGGAGTTCGAGGTTGAAGGAGTGGTAGGAAGGGGTCGTCCGCGGTTGGGATGGAGAGAGCAGGTGGAGAAGGACAGGGTGAAAGCGGGGTTGCGTGATACTGAGGCGAGTGACAGATGTGGATGGCGTCGAGGGGTATTTCGGTTTCATCATAGGTAGCCAAACGGCAACCCCCGATCTCGGGGAAAATGCCGTCTAAACGTGTGTTGTTGTTGTTGTTGTTGGTTAAGTTAACAATGTCATTAAAAGATGTCATTTCATGTTATTTTCATTGTATAAAAATCGTTGTAAAACATAATGCAGTTGTTGCCAAAGAATGCTGTTTCTTTGGTCGCAAGTAGCGCAATCAAGAAAAAGGATAAGAAGAACAAGCCACAAGTCGAAGATGAGAAGCCTGGAGATGAAAGTAGAAGAAAACATAGAGAAGAATTTACTAGGTGAACAACGTGAAGATTGTTCTATATTGTTCATAAAATAATTTTTGAGTGTTTTATGTGATCGATTCAATTGCTGTAATTTTTGAATAACATGTCAAACCTACCATAATTTTTCTTCATATGTCTGTTTTTTTCCACCGTGCTCCATTGTTTTTTAGTATTCAATACAGTCATCCAGTGACCGTCCACCACATCACATCTCTTGACACCACATCACATCTCTTGACCTCTTGACAGCTCGTTATATGCCAATGACCTTGTACACGACACGCAGACTACAAACAAAAACCCACGCAAAACGCCTCGTTTAATTTTCCATTATATATTTCACTGCAAGTGAGAAGAGCGCTGATGTCACATTTTTGTTTTTATTTTTTAGAATTTTATTTGACAAAAAATCAGGAGGTCAAGAAAATAAAAACTATTTGTGCAGACCTCCCTTAACGAATTTAAAGATTTTTGTGATCGTTCAATTACCTTACATAAATAGTTTTCACAAGGATCAAAGAATAAACATAAAATACATGGGCATAATAAAGTTTGAAATGGAATAGATTTTAAGTAAATTAAAGGATACGTATTAAACAATCATTTTACTTTATTTACGTAACGTTTACAATTTTTAATTGAAAGCTTAAATTGTTCATCTCAAAATTGATTTATATTTTGAAATTTTTAAAGTTGTTTGTTTTTATCTATCCTCTTAACCTTTATAAATAATCATAACTGCGAGCAGAATTCCAACATAAAGCTACTAGAAAATATTACGTGTGTTTGGTTGTATTTATGGATTTGTATAAGTTGACTAGAAGAGTGTAGATTTCTTTATTTCCAAATTTATTTCAATTTAATTTTAATTTATTTGCTTGTGATACAAGCCTTGCTTTTATTTGCTTTTGTTTTATTTGTTCACAAAACTTTGCTGAGCCAAAAACTCAGACCTGCATGAAAATGTTATTTAAACAGCATTTTGTCACTATTTGTTTTTTTAATTTTTGGACAAATAAAGTGCATTATATGATACTTCATTTTATCTCAATGCAATGCAACATAACAATGCATTGTCGTACGACATTTGCCAGCTCTGTATTTCCTGCGGTGACTCGTTTTGTTTTTCGCTTACATATTATTTTGTTTTTACCTATCTACAAATCTTTTTGGAGGAAAATTTTCAACTGTCAGTCTTTGGTACTTTTTTATATTTTAAAATTTATTATGATTTTCAAAGAATGGACAAGTTACACATGGCACTGACAGAGTTGTGCTTCTCCATAAATTACTGCAATATCATCAACGTCTGGGACCACGGCTTTGTTCCAAGAGAATTCTTCAGCCAGCAACTTGAAGTTCGATTTAACCAGTTAGTTTTTTTTATTTGTTATAAATTTGTCGTTCAGTATTTTGATTCTATAGCTCACCACCGTCACCATCGTTTTGTGGCATTCAGTCTGCGGATTACCAGTGTTAAATTCGTTAGCGTATCCAGGAAGGGCAGGCAGTCTCGCGGGTATCTAACTTGCGAAATTTCTCCAACTCTTCATGATATCCACCCATGTTAACCCTTTGTAAATAAATCAACTCTTTCCACTTTAATTTTGAGTTTCATCATTCTGCCAGAAATATGAAATTGTGTTAATATTTTAAACTGTTAGATGCTTAGTCAACATGATGGTGTACAACGGGGAGACGAAGGATGTAGTCAAACCTTCTGAACTGTTGAGTAACATCAAAGCCGTTATGAGTGTACTCCAGTCTATTGAAAATTATGGTAAAAGTGTATTTACACTTTTTTTATTATGAGTAATTGTTTTCAATTTATTTTTATTTGCTAATTTTCTACTGACTGCGATCGCATTTATTCTTTACGTGTTTTTTGTCAAAAAATGGCCTGAAAATGTCTTTTTTTTACAAAAGTTTTATTTTGTTTAAAACCGAATTAAAATCTGCCTGAAATTGTATATGACGCAAGGTAGCACCATTGGTCGACAAGTCAGCTTAGACTAGACAAACGTTGGTTGTGTTTTGCTTGTCTCGCTCTGACCGGGTTCAAATGCTATTGCGCCAAATGCCATTGCCTCAAAGAATACGGAGCCTGAAAATCTACCTACCGTCAGATACATTTTTCGCCATTCTCATTATCTAAGTCTCTGATTCTTAAAGATTTTAAAAATCTGTTAAATGAGCGTTCAGTTTGTATTCAGTGAAAGATGTTTTTTGTCAAAAAATGGCCTGAAAATGTCTTTTTTTTACAAAAGTTTTATTTTGTTTAAAACCGAATTAAAATCTGCCTGAAATTGTATATGACGCAAGGTAGCACCATTGGTCGACAAGTCAGCTTAGACTAGACAAACGTTGGTTGTGTTTTGCTTGTCTCGCTCTGACCGGGTTCAAATGCTATTGCGCCAAATGCCATTGCCTCAAAGAATACGGAGCCTGAAAATCTACCTACCGTCAGATACATTTTTCGCCATTCTCATTATCTAAGTCTCTGATTCTTAAAGATTTTAAAAATCTGTTAAATGAGCGTTCAGTTTGTATTCAGTGAAAGATGTTTTCGATGTATGGCAAGTTCGTTACCTTGCTTGTGCGACTTCTATATACTCTTGATTTTATTGTTATGCCGTTTGTTTACATAAATAAACGTGACTCTACTTAATTAAATACAACTGCCTAACTTGTTTTAAAGTAGTTAACGTAATTTTTTAATTGAACAGTTCATATGGATATATCAAAAGTGTTCAACAGTGTTTTACCGCAGCAATCTCAAGCAGTGGACAGTTTCAATGGAGAGCCGACAGTTTGCGCCAATTACACGCAGTGGTTTGTTCTGTCGCTATTTTTCTATCTTCCCCACTTTTGCTCATTACAATATGAAAAAATCGTTTAAAACTAATCTAGATTATTGAATATGTGTTTTTCAAATCTTATTTAACGTTTATGTAATTTGGCGCAGCTAACATTGTTTTGTCTATTTACAAAATGTGTTTTTAAAATTAAGAAATTTATATATGAAAGTATTTTTTTGTTATTCTGATTGAAACGCGTTATTCTCGCTTAGCGTTTATAATTCATATTCGATGGAGATTCCAGTGAATGAATAATCTAAGTTTGTGAATATCTTGAACAAAACAACAATTTTTTAAAGATTGACATTAACCTTTCCCTTCTTTGACCCAACGAAACTCCCTATATAGCCATTTGCTTCTTAATAAATATTTTGTTCGTAAAAGTGAATTCAAATTTACCACCAACTGACTTCTTATTCTCATTCAGTTTCAAGAGATAGGATTAGAGCTGATCAAAGTAGATTTTTCAAAGGCAGGTCGTCGTATTTTTATTTTGTACAATGCAATTGAGCATACTACACCTATTAATAGATAACGACAACAACTGTGATGAATGTGAGGCAGCGAGATTTAGGTTGGATTCGCTGCTGGAAATACGTAATTAAACATAACCAAACAGTGACTGCTTGCCTCGACTCCATAAAATACTTACGAGTTTTTTCTAAAGTACTTTCAGCAAGATCATCCTGAAAATAGAATACCGCTAACTGTTAACAAATGAAAATAATGACAAGATTTACGGTGACGAGGTCAGGGAGATAGAGTTTGCAAAAAGATCACAAAATTTATTAAAGGAAATGTTGATGACAGCCTGAGACTTCTTCTCTTGTAATGATCGAAATTTTTAATCATCAATTATAATTGATTTGTTGTAATTTGGTAATATGCTTTCTTCTCCATTTGAAAACGCTGAACTAGTTGTACAGCGTCATGGCTGTTATCCTATTCAAAGTTCTATTATTATTACAAATCTTTTTATTATTAACTATCATTATTCAGAACTCTTCAGCCACATTATTTTGTTATTTGTTATTTTACCCAAGAGAGTAGTGACGCACATTCCTATTTGTTCAGTATGTAGCCGACGCATGTTCTTATTTATATGGTATGTGATTTCCAATGTAATGTATTTAAAAAAAGGTACTTGGATGTGCTGCTTCGTCGAATAGGAGCTGGCCATGGTATATATTCTGAAAATCACAAAGCTTTCATCAGTACCGTCGTTGACCCACAATCCAACTTCTTCATTGAAGAGTATGCTGACCTGATGGGTTAGGACTTTAAAATTGCAATCACGATTGAAGGCACGGTTATATGTTAATATTAATCATAATTTGTTATTTCACAGTCTATTTGGTGCGATCAATTTGCAAGCATATTTCGAATGTCTAATTATTCATTAAATACTTCATAGAATTACGAGCGTTGGCCGAGTTGGTCGGCCCATATGGCATGAAGTACTTGAACGAGAAGCTGATGAACCATATCTCCAACCAGTTTGATGAAATAAAAGTTAGAGAATCCTGCTTCTGCTTATAATTTATTCTATATTGCAGTGCTTTACATTTTAATAATGTGCCGTAACATTTTTTATTATAATTTTTACTATTATTTTATTCGTTCATTCATTCGTTCATTCATTCATTATGCAATGATATCTTTGAAACACTTATATTCCTATTAACTTCTTCATGCTGTGAATAACTTTTGTCTTTTCTGTTGACAAAACAACTAATTTTGTTTGTTATAATTTGGCATTCTAAATCTGCATGAGTTATCTTTTTCAAATGCTCAACATTTTTTTAACTTTAATTCCTTTTTTCTAATCTAGTTTTGTCTTAATTGGTGTTGTTTCACATTATTTAATTTCTTTTTAAACGAGATCTCGCACATTTTCACATGCAGAAGCTAGTGATTCAGAACAAACTGGTGTTGATGGAATTGAGGTCTAACTTCGATAAGCCAGAATTGATGAAAGAATTACAAAAAAAATTGACCAGTCAAGTTTTAATTTTTTTTAATGTTCAATTTTTCTATTTTGTTATGGAAAGATTATTTTATTTTCTTTTTATCAAACTGGCTAACGCTTTTTGGCTTATGTATTACGTAAGACCAATTTCAAATGCCAGCATTTAAATGCTACCTGTGGATAAATATATATCATAATTAGGTGGTAGAATGTAAATGAGGTGATTGAAATGAAATGCTGACCAAATTGGCAGCTGGAGAATAATGAAACAAATCGGCGCAATAAAATAAATTAGCCATGACAAGTTTTGTTGTTTGATAAAGGAGAGTTGGGGTAGATGATTCATGCAATGTGAGCGCCGGAATAAAATACAGTTACTGGCTTTTAGTGCTTTGTCAAATTATTAAATGAATAAATCCAAGGTTATGAAATGAAGTTGTTGAATGAATGATTAAATGAATGAATGAATAAATAGATATTTTTGTACTTTTTTTGCGAACCTAGGGTAACAGACTGTGTTAGAAAGATTTCAATATCTTATTGTGTTTTTTAAATAATATTATGACATGCAGGTGCTGATGTTTTGCTACAAAGGATGACAACTATTGGTGTGCTTCTGGCTTTCAGAGGACTCTCTCAAGATGCTCTGCTAGATGTTTGTAACTTAGCTCTCACTTATTTGTTTCAAGTTGTTTGTCTGTCTATCTGTTTGATTGTTTGTTTTTTGTCTGATTGTTTGTCTGTCTGTCTGTTTAAGTAAATTTTGCTCGTTGTAATAATCCTGATCACCTGTTTTGTATTTTTTATCATACAATAAATTTTATAACTTTAAAACCTTTTTTATAAGATTATATTTTCGAAACATGCATTTTTGTTTATGTTTGTAATATGATAAGCCAACGTTAAATTTTCAATTAAACTCTGCCCTGTTGAATTTACAGATCCTGGAAATTAGAATACCCTTCCTGTTGAATTCTATCAAGGATTTCCAACAGCATGCTCCCAATGGACAAGAGTCCATGGTATCTACAATTTTTCTTTTTATTCTTTTGTTACTAATTACAGCGGTTAAATCATTATTATGGTTCACTTGGGATTCATGACGTTATGAAACTCTTCTGGGTTTGTGATGTCACTGCTGCTCCACTTACTGCTGGCAAGATGTAAATGTTCCTACTGCTGGCATGCCGCGGTTGTTTAAGTTGATCTAAATTTTTAATGTTTGCGTCAGAAAGATGTCTTTCTAAATTTCACCCTAAACCTATATAAATATGGCCCAACCATCTTTTATGAGGGCCTTGTTGTTCTGAAGGCCTCACCAACGCATTACTTTATGCTTCTTTCACACCGGCAAGCCATACTACATCTTGCATATGCCAGATGGCAACATTAATTTTTGCTCACTGCACGCATAAAAATCACTACAAGAATTTAACGTTCAACAATTCCTGCGCCATCTTTTGCAAGCTACCACACAATTTTCATGAGAGGTTTGATGCAGTTTATTTATTTTGTCATTTTTAATATTCTAACAAATTTTTAAACGCTGTTATACAAAAAATATTTAGTTTTTAATTTTGATAGGAAACATGATTTGTTATTTTTTGTCTTACAATGTTTTTGGCTGAACCCTGAAACGCAAATCTTTGTTTGAGTTTACTAACTGGATCGAGCATTAACATTTTATTTCTGATCTTTGAGTAGATTTGAGAAAAACTTTTTTTCAAATTGAGTTGATTTTTTGTGAGGACTTGAAGTGGGTAGGTTTTACAAAGAGAATTGGGTTTTTTTTATTTTACAAACTCGCCTTTCATGTCACCTTTCACTTCAATGAAGGAAATAATTTCAGAAATTTACAAACATAAGGATTATATTTGTAAAGGATTGAAAGTAAAGTAGGGTTAATGCTAGGGTTTTTTTTATGTTTGAGTTTTCTTTTCACATTATTTGAGATGCTAAATTAGTTTTAGTTAACTACGTTTTAGTAAATATTTAACGTTCTCCAATTTCTTAAACTATCTTCAAAATCAAAACATTTTATAAAAAAACTAGGAAACGTTATTATTTAAAGGCACATACATATCATTTTATTTGATTTATTAATGATGTGACACTTTTAATATCTTCACTCAACGTTAACAGCTTGCTTCTATTCGGAGTCAGGTATATAAATATAAATGGATTGTATGCTATCGAACTTCTGTCATTTCTTTTCTTATAGCCTGTTTTTTAATGGAGTTCTTGTGTTTAATTATTACATTTTAGTTTTTTTTTATAGTTTATTGGTTCCAATAATTGATTTATTACGATTTAATAGAGAATAATTTCATTTGCAAATCTTAAGAGTTATTTCTTGCTTTTCAAAAATTTTTCTTTTGTTTAGTTTTTTATCTTATGTGGACTCTTTATTTATATTGCACTTATTTTTTATAATTTGGCATCATTATGTAGACTTTTTATGTTATGCAGAGTTTTTATTTACATTATTTATATTTACAATAACAACAACAACAACACACGTTTAGACGACATTTTCCCCGAGATCGGGGGTTGCCGTTTGGCTACCTATGATGAAACCGAAATACCCCTCGACGCCATCCACATCTGTCACTCGCCTCAGTATCACGCAACCCCGCTTTCACCCTGTCCTTCTCCACCTGCTCTCTCCATCCCAATCGCGAACGACCCCTTCCTACCACTCCTTCAACCTCGAACTCCAACGCTCGCCTAATCCCGACCCTTTCATCCCTTCTCAACACATGTCCATACCACCGCAATCTCGATCTCCTTATCAATGTCACATTGTCCTCATTCAGTCCCATCATTGACATCAGCTCTGTACTACTCCTCCTATCCTTCACTTTAACCCCACACATCATCCTCACCATAGCTCTTTCAGCCCTCTGCAGTACACTTTCCTCCTCTCTCCTCAACACCCAAGTTTCACCTCCATATACCATCGCTGCTCTCACACATGCTTTATATACCCTCCCTTTCATCTTCACTGACCATTTCTTTCCACACAATACCCCACCCAGTTCCCTAAATTTCATCCATCCTACACGAACTCTAGCCGTAACTGCGCTCAAACATCCTCCATCCGCGTTCAGCTTATCCCCTAAGTAAACAAAGCTTTCCACTTTTTCAATACCACCACTCAACCCCGTCCTTGCGTCCGTCCTATTAATCACACCATGAACACATTTCTTACATTTGAACGTGCCTTCCACCTTTTTCAGTGCCCCCCTCACACCACTACATCTCTTATGCACCCATTTCTGACATCCTATACACAATACCGAGTTAGCCTTCACTCTCCTATCACATACCCCACAGGGGTCTACTTTACTTATCACTCGCTCCCCACCTTCCCCACTCACCATTACCTTCGTCTTACCAATATTAACTTTCAACCCTTTTTTTTCAATAACACTTTTCCATCTGTCAAATTTTAACTGCAATTCTTCCATGCTATCAGCCATCAAGACTAAATCATCTGCATACAAAATCTCAAATAACAACCCCTCCATTATGTTTCCACACACAACATCCATCACAATTGCAAACAGAAACGGTGATAACACTGATCCTTGATGCACTCCTATCTTAACACTAAAAGCGTCCGACATCCCCCTTCCAACCCTCACCTTTGTCTTTGCCCCTTCATACAGCTGCATCACAGCTTTAACAAGTCTCTCATTCACTCCTTTCTTCCTCAACGCCCATTCAGTGATCTTCCTCGGTACTCGATCAAAAGCCTTTTCTAGATCCACAAAACACATGTACAATCTTCGTTTCTTCTTTCTATAATTCTCCTGCAACATTCTCACCATGAACAACGCATCCACCGTTCCCCTACCAGGCATAAACCCACACTGCATTTCATTAACTGTCACCATATTTCTCAACCTCCTCTCAAGCACCCTCTCCACTACCTTCATTCCGTGCTCTAGCAATTTCACACCCCTATATATGACCCACAATTTCTCACTTCTCCTTTGCCCTTATACAACGGCACCAACACACTGTGTCGCCAATCCTCAGGTATACCTTCATCATCAAACATACTGTTAGCAATTCTCATCATAACTTCAATTCCTATCACCCCACTCGCTTTTATATGTTCTGCCGCCACTTCCGAAACCCCTGTCGCCTGTCTATATAATTAATATTTATATTTACAATAAATATTATTTATTTAGACACACACCTTCCAGTGAATATTTAAATTTTTCAGTTTGCCATGTTTAAATAAGTGCTAATCCAATTGTTTTGTCTTGCAAATTTGGAGGAAACCATATTGTCTTTGCGTAAATATGTTTTCTCTACAAAATAGTCTATCATAGTCTGTCTTTTGTAGTTGATTTCACAATTTTAAACCAAGTTGAACTGGTCTCTAATTGTTCACAATAATTTTGCAGTTTTTTTGACAGCGAAATCTCAGAGCTAGATTTCAATCCTTCTAAGATTATTCCAGATTTAATTGATTTTGGAAAATTCGGCAACCAAATATTGTTTGGCTTCCTTGAGCATCCAAGTTTGAATTACAGATATCACTGTGATCATTAGCTTTTAAATAATAAGATAATCCGTTAGTGCGAATTATTTTATACGTCCGGAGAACTTAGCATCAGAAATTAAATTTTGCCCTTTATTTTCTTTGTTATCTGATCTCTGCCTGCTCGGTTCTGGCAATCATTTGAGCAAAAGTATGGAGTGGTGATAATCATGAGTTTCTGAATTTTAAGACAACACCATTTTGCATCGAGTTGCTGACCACCCAAGAATTCAAAAATGTATAACACTAGATTTTTTAGTCAAATTTGATCCCTCTCAAAAGGTTTTGAAATCTGAGGCTTAATTTGAAGAAAGTTAGTCTGTGGGGCGTAACCAAATGCGAGAACCTAGCCAAATCGGCCTATAAAAACCTACCCAGAAACCAAAAAGACTGTAATTAACGCAACCTGCATGCACAATTGCAATCATTTATTTTATTTCTACTATAAATTTGTTACATCATGTTACATTATGTTAGATACATGTATCATATTTGTATGTGTGCATATATTATTCGCAAATGTACAGAGTCAAGTAAGTGAATGAATTAATAATTTCAGAAATTGTTCCGTGGTGACAGATGACTGATTTGTTGAGTACTGTCTAATGCTTTTAATGAAATACTGAACTCAAGCGACGTCTTGTCACGACATTTTATTCGGAAGTGTAACTTGAATGCGAAACAGAGGATCAGATTTGAGCAAATGCGTTGACGAGTCTCTAGCAAACTGAATTTTTTTTTTCATTCTTTTCTGCTTCTTGGCCTCAGTGATGTCCGACTTCATGTATTCTTCAACTTCATACGGACTAGTGAAGGGTCCACATTCTTCTTTCAATTCTGCAATCATATTTAATCTCTTCCTTTCTTTCATGACTACAATAACCTGTTTCTCAGCAAAACCTGCCCGAAACTTCTCTTTTATAGATTGACTCCAAGTTGGTTTTAGATTCTTAACCTGACAAACTTTTTCACTGAAACTTTTAAATTACAACTTTGATTGTGCCTGAAGTTCTTCGGGCTGCTGGATGATAATACTTTTTCTGACAGACTCAATCTACTGTAATTTGTGAAGACGGTAGTCTACTTGACCACATAAACGTTCCATTGCTATGTTTGTAACTAGAGTGTCGTCTATATTTGGGGTTTGTTGTTCAACAAGATATTCCTCGAAATCCGAAGTAATTCCGTAGCCATGGCGTTGTCTGCTTAGGTGGCTTTTAATTTAAGCATTATAAAATTACACAGTTTGATGCAATCTTCTTCATACTGGCACTCAGTTTCCGATAATGCATGAACAATGTCATGGCCATAACTGCGAGCTACATCGTCAAACGGATTTGACTCAATACCGTTAAACTATGGCTTGACAAACCTGAAAAAATCAGAAGTCATATCTTTTGACATTTCCTGAAAGAGAGTCTTATAAAAACTCTTCAGAAACTATAGAAAGGCTCAACCAGATTAATTCCGAGAGCACCAAACAGAGCAAAAACAGGTTTAAAATATTCGACATTCAAAAACTTTTAACGATACGTGATAAACGATTTGTGATTCGTGGATTGTTTTTGAGGAAGCTTTCCATGAAGGGAAAAGTACGATAACTGCACTAGCACGTGAAAGACATCGAAACCTGTTATCTCTATAGAGAAATAGTACTTGATGCAAATCACAATTTTCCAAATGAAGCACAAACTGTAATAATTCTATGGTTTATGCTGAAACTCTGGCGCAACAAGTCCATGTTTAGAATTAAAGATCCATGTTTAGAATCAAAATTTAGATCTACCATAAAGTTTTGGAATATTGCCTTCAAGTCATATATCTTTTGATCATGTTAATTTGTTTATTCATTCTAGAGCAAATCCTAAAGTTCTATGTGTAAAGATACTTGTCAAACAATTTAATCAAACTTAAACTGTCGTATTACACTATCTGAAATATTAAACAACAAATTTGTCAGCATATTAGAGAAAATTCAATTTAATTTAATTGAATTTATTATATAAGATATGGGAAAAGCCCAGGTATGAAAATATCAGTGGAAGTTTGTATCAGATGAGTTAATTACTTCAGATAAGATTAATTATTTTTATGATCAATGTTGAACTCCTGTTATTAGCAATGTACACATTTTCGAATGGGCTTAGGAGGCATCAAAAATGAACATACAAATGATTTTTAATGCTTAACACGTCATGTGCGGTGGCGACTTGAAATTCCGAAAAACCAATTTTTACGCCATTTATCACCAACCCCTAGCAAAAGCATCTTCGTTTCGTTGAATAGTCCACGGGCTACTGCAATGACAAGCCAGTGTGTCGATCATGTCTCTTTTTGTTTCGATGGTGATTCGAAAAAGCTTGGAATATTTGTTACATCCGTTATGAAGTTTTATCTATTTACTTGTAATTGTTCAGTTAGCATTATTACTTCTTTTCTTATTTGACGGTGTTTGATAGGTTTTAAAAGTATTACTTCTATTTCGAAATATATAAAGAGTTTTATAATCGTTTTGAAACTCTATTGTCGGAATTTTTAAAAATACACTCTTAAATTTGTCAATAATTAACCCACGGCGTAATTTTCGTTCTGCATCAACTTATTTATTTGCACCACTGAGAGGAATGAATAATTTTTTGAGGGGTTTATCTAGTTTTTCAATTTTGTAATTGATTTTAATTTTGTAAAATTACGGACTGAAGGTTGAATTTCATGATTGAGGAATTATTTACACTTTTGGATTGTTATCTATGGTTATTCATAAAAATTTATTGTGTCGATATTTTGTAAAATTATTTCATTATTTTTCTTGCATTCAATTTTGAATTTTATGTAAAAGAAACTAAGGTATTTATAAAACTTGATGAATTTTTGAAGATTGTGAATGAGATGGCATCGGCTGCAGGACTGTCGTGTGATGTTGATCCAGCTCTGTGCGCTGCACTCAGACAACAAAAACCCGGTCTGTTTTTTATTTCATTATTCATGTCACCAAGTTAGCAACATTTTATCAAATAAATTTACCAAGCCTTCTTATAAATATTTACATGGTCTCTCTCTGTTCTCTCTCTCTCTCTCTCTCTCTCTCTGTTCTCTCTCTCTCTCTTTCTCTCTCTCTCTCTCTCTCTCCTGATGCACCTAACTTTTTTATAATCTATTACCACTTAAGAAATGTTCTCATCATATTTATCTTTAAATCTTGAAAAAATAAGTACATGACATTTTTTGTTGACACAAAATTATTATACAATTTGCATCCTTTTTCTATTTTTTTGTTAGTTAATTCGACTTTCTTATTATTACCATTTGCTCATAAATCCTGTTTGGAATCAGCTTCATGGTGGAGCGCAATAGATTTTAAACCTGTCACTGATATTATTTTATTAGGAGAAGATGATTATACAGTGGCCTGTTTGTTAATGGTTTTTATAGCAGTTGCAATTCCAAGACTTGCTCGTACGGAATCTTCAATATTCAAGCCTGCCTATGAAGGTGAACATTATTACTTCAAATTAATATGATTACCACATAATTACACATCTTTTTTAGAAAAAAATTCACTTGCAAAGGTACAAAAATTAAATTACCGGTTAATAATCTTTCCATTTATGTTATTATTCCATCTATTAAAACAAATTTTGTTACTATCCTCCTGTTATGGCAGTTTAGAAATTTCAGTGAAGTTGTTTTAAATAATTTTAATCTGTCGTTTATTGTTTTATCAGTAAAACTAAAAAATGGCTCACGATTTCTAGCTTTAATTCACGTTCCTGATTTTTCAAAGAAAAAAAATGATTAAATGTCAACAATAATTATGTAAGTACATTTGAATATTTCCTACAATAGGAATTGTAATTTATACGATTTCTTAACTATTCAGGCCACAACAACAACATACACTGTCTTTCCAAAGCTATCAACAGTCTGGCTGGTGCTTTGTTCACAGTGCTTGGACATGGAGATGTCGAGGCCAGGCTGAAAGAATTTCTTGCAGTATTAATTTTTGGATTTTTGTTTGCTTTTATCCATGTTATATATTAGAATAATTTAATTTTGTACATTCAACTTTTTAAAATATAGCAATTTAAAATCATTAGTTAGCTTCGTCCAGCTTGTTGAGGCTAGGTCAGGAAGTGGACAAGGAGGCGATCAAAAACAGAGAATCCGTCTATTTACTTCTTGACCAGGTTATTATTATTATCCTGAAACGTATATCAATAATTTTAAACTTATTCTTGTAATCATCAACGAGTGGGGAAGATTTTACAGCCCTTCCAAAATTAAGGACGTTTAATCCAATTTTGAATCTACATCTAAATTTGATCGCAATCAAATCCTAAGCCTAGTTTTATTATATTATTTCATTTGAATTCAGTTTATATTTAATTTAATATAATCATATTTAGAACTTAAAGGAGAAAGTCGTTGTGAAGATTGGCTCTAGCCATTAAATATATTTCAGCAAAATTAAATATAGATCTAATGTTACATGCCGCCAGATAATACAAGAATCGCCATTCTTAACAATGGATCTGCTTGAGTCATGTTTTCCTTATGTCTTGTTACGGACATCATACCATCATGTCTACAAACAGGTCGACCAAATTTGAACAAGGTTTAGAAAGCATTCCTTCCTCCTTGTTTGTTTGTGATATTTTCTCATCTTTTTAATATATTTTATTTATGTATTTAAACCAGTTTAAAACGGGTTAAATGACTAACAAAGAAATGCAGAAAGAGCGAAATAGTGAATTTATTATATTAGAAATTATGGAGTTCTTTTTTTTTACGTTTTTGTCTCGTCGTTTCTTTATCGTGGTTATTTAATTAAATTAATTAAATTAATTAAATAACTAGTCTAGAGCAAAACGGATAAATAGTACAGGAATAAACAAATGCTCGCCAGAAACTGATTTGATAAATGGTGGTGTTTTTTAAAAATTATTTTGAAATGTTAATATAGCACTCAAGGTGAGATGTAAAAACAATGTAGAACTTCTTTAATCAAAATTAAATTATTTGGTAGTAGGTATTCTAATTTTTGCATTAAAATTTGTTATAAATAATTTCGTTATTGACTCCATCTACACCAGCGATTCTAAACCTGTAAGTCGCGACCCCGTCGGTCGTTGAATGATTCACCTGTGCATCACTGAATGATGATTCACCTGTGCATCATTTGAATGATGATTCACCTGTGTATCATCTGAATGATGATTCACCTGTGCATCATCTGAATGATGATTCACCTGTGCATTATCGCCTAAAACCATCGAAAACATGATTTTTATTTCTCTTATAATATGCCATGGTTCAATTTTTTAAAACTTTTTTTAAAGTAGATTATTTGTGCCTACAGTAACTCAAAATTTGTTCATATGGAACTGATTAATTTGCGAAATTTTATCAAACTGACATTCCGTTTGCTGCACTTGCCAAAAGTTCATTCACAGTCTCAATTTTGACATTGTTCTTGAAACATCAAAAAAATAATTTATAGAACTCGTTAATAATGGTGCAACAAAAAATGATTTCTTTTCACTGTCCGTTAAAATTGTATATTAAGTGTTTGCAGCCTATACCCTGTTGTCTAAGATTTTGTTGTACTTTCTTATTGCGATTTTTGTATGATGCGTTGTCTCACGTGTATTCACATGCATTGTGTTTGTTGCTGATTCCTCCGAAAATTTTGAAGAGATAATTGTAATAAATTATAATAAATGGATTATGGTACTAAAGCGGTCGCGGCACGAGAATGGTTGGGAATTGCTTATCTACAAAAACATTCGGCGACCCAATTTTCGGTTAAAGTTTATTACTTGAATGATTGAAAAAAAAATTTGGGTTTGAAATCTAAAAAAAGTAATTTGGAAAAGTTTACACGTTAAAAAGTTATCAAAACATTTTTCTACCATTTTGTTGAATCTTTATTAAAATTTAATAGTTGTTATTACAGATCGATGATTACATAAATTGGTATTTTTATATTGTCATTTATTATGCCAGGGACAATTTTGAAGAAGTGTAATGTCGCCGAGAAAGAACTATAACTTAAATTTTTCAGTTCATTGAAGACGATTTTGTAAAATTTACAAATTTTATTGACAAATTTAAATAATGTTATTAATAATATTTAGCAATTAAGTATACAATCAATTTTACAACATTTTCTAGTGAACGCTAAATGTTTTGTATTTTAAATATCTTATAATAATTTTGTTTTTGTTTTATTTTTTCGATTTTTTTATATTCTTCATTTACTATAAGCTTTATATTCTTCATTTACTATAAGCTGCGTCAAAATTATTTGAAATTTATTTGTTTCTTAGTTTGAATTGTCGTTTCTTTACATTGATTGTTTAGATTGTTCAAAAAGTGACTCATTCATATTTTTTATGTTGTGTACCATGTAAATAGTATGTTCATGCATAGCTTTACTTTTTAAATTTTATGGACACGTTAAAATGCTCGTTACCGATTACAACCTTTCGTTGAGTGTTTCTGTAAATTGTAATCTTAGTTTGAAAATGAGGTGTTTTTGATTGAGCTGATTTAATCATATATGTTATAATACATAAATGGAGCTGGTCATATGCATAGAATAGATGCTTAGGTCCTCGTATTACAAAAATATTTTTGGGGTTTGTGAAGGGTTGGGGTAAGAAATAGAATCAATAAAACAGGAACAATAAAACGTTTTTACTTTAACAAAATGTTTCAAAACTTTCAACTATTAAATTTTAAATTAGCTATTTATTTTTGATAAATATGAAAAATTCAATAAAGAACGACTTCTGAGATGAAAATGATAATTTTCTTGGTCTTAAAGTAGATCTATTTTCCTTCGAACTACCGAAATCCACCATTGACCCTTATTTAAAATGGTGATCAATAAATGCATCAGCTTGATATTTTCAGTAGATTGTATTTTCATCATTCCTAGGGCAGATCAATCCATACTATCTTTGAAAATTGTGGATAAGTTGGTTATTACGACGAAAAATATCCGGCCAACGTTGATCTCAAATACTGTAGTTTAGTTCTCATGCTAAAATTTCGTTGACACTGAATTGTTCATAGAAAAAAAATCTATAATAAATATAACGGCCTTCGCTTACTATTAACGGTCGAACAAGGAGCTTACTTCCGAAGGGGAGTTGATGGGTGATTTTTTTTACATCCGTAACACCAGTTTCATGAAAGTGATTTTCAAATTTCACGATCAACGACATATAAATATGGAGTGCCGAAAAACTTTTGAGTTGAAATGGAGAAATTTAAGAAGTTAAAGAAATCATTAATGCATGATGCACATGCAAATTTTAAAATACGTGTTTTAACTTAAAAAAAAATTTTGATTTTATTTGATCGAATAAATGTTAGCGAACGAATTTCGTTAAAAAAATTCTGTCTGTGTTTTTAAATCATTTAAAAAATATTCTGACAGTACAGTAAAAGTCCTCTAGAGAGGACACCATTGGGGAATGACCAAACTGTCCTCTCCTCTTAACTGTCCTCTCCTCAAGACTCAACATCAAAATCTTTTTTGATATACTACATAAAAAATTAAAATAAAACAACACGTTTTTAATATTGTTGTGGAAGAAAATCATTCATAGTTGTATGTTTTCCAAAACATTTTGTTTTTAACAATTCAATTTCTAAAATATTTTCAATGTTTTCAGAAAATTGTAACAATTCTCTATTGCCCATATGTATCGAATAGGAAGTTAGCTTCCTGGCACATTGTAATGCCACCTTTGTAGAAACTAGCCAATGACCAAAGGTGGCAATTTTTCCCCTGTCTGAGAGCAAGCTAAAAGAACAGTTATTTTTTCTTTGGCTGTCTTGATGCCTTTCCTTTTATCAGATTTCAAAACAAGTGAACGTTGTAGTAAACTGCGATAATAAAGACCTGTCTCATCTGCATTGAATATATTTTCAGGTAAGAATCCAGATCTCAGGAAGCCTTTTTTCCCAATCATCAACTATTTTTTCATCAACATCAGCAGCTTCACCAGCAAGTTGTACAAATGTTATCTCAAACTGCTTCTGCCAACTTCTTAGCCAACCAGTTGATGCCATGAAATTTTCACAACCGATACAGTCTACAGCAATAACAATAGCTTTTTCCTAACAATAATAAAGAAGGTTAGAAAAAAACAAAATAAATTCTTTATTTTCCCTATTTTTAAAAAGGTGGTAAGTTAAAATTTTGTTTAAAGAACTCTAACCTTCACCATTGGTCCACTAACTGGCAGATTCTTTGACCGAGCTTCAGAAAACCATTCAAACAATTTAAAATTGATCTCTTCAAAATCCGTTTTTCGTCTTTTCAACGTTTTATTCTTACTTGGCACTCCCGCTTTCCACTGCCTTTTTACAGATTCTTTATTTTCACGAATATTTGCAATTTGAGTTTTTCCGCAACCAAATTTTTCAGCAATTTTTCGTATGCTAACTCCATCATTTAATTTTTTCACCACCAGCATTTTTTCTTCCAAGTTTAAAATTTTTTTTCGCAGAGTCGACTCCATTATTACACAACAGTTTATCAACACGACCGCGATAAAAAATCAAAGAGCGAAAATAATTTTTTTTAAATAACCAAAGATTATCAAAGTTTCTTTAGCGCATTCCATAGAATAGAATAAATACAAATATTCAAATTAGATGGCGCATTTTATCAAATATTTTATGTGTTTTTGTTATAAATTGTCCGCTCTTTAAGACATAAAAGTCAATTTGTACTTAAAACCCACTCCGTAGTTCGTTCCTTTAAAATGTCCGTTCTTTAGGGTCTATTTAACATGCAAAACGGTTCCGTGCCAAGCAATACTGTCCGTTACTCATATCTGTCCATTCTTTAGGGTCCCGCTCTAGAGGACTTTTACTGTAAATATTTTGTTATTTTACACCAATCAACACAATATTGTATGCTTAAAAAATTATTACATATATTTATTCATCGCAAAATTATAGTTAACACGCTGTATCAAAATATTATTTACTAAATGACAATTTTACAACAGTTGTTAAAACCATGACTCGGTTTTAATTTATTTAAAAAATATTCTGACAGTAAATATTTGATTATTTTACACCAATTGACACAACATTGTATGCTTAAAAGATTATCAAAAATAATTATCCATCGCAAAGTTATAGTTAACACGCTGTATCAAAATATATTTACTAAATGACATTTTTACAACAGTTGTTAAAACCATGACTCGGTTTTAATTTATTTAAAAAATATTCTGACAGTAAATATTTGATTATTTTACACCAATTGACACAACATTGTATGCTTAAAAGATTATCAAAATAATTATCCATCGCAAAATTATAGTTAACACACTGTATCAAAAAATATGACATTTTTACAACAGGTGTTAAAACCGTGTCTTGGTTTTAATTTATTTAAAAAATATTCTGACAGTAAATTTTTTTGTTATTTTACATCAATCGACACAATACTGTATGCTTAAAAAATTATCGAATATAATTATTCATCGCAAAATTATAATTAACACACTGTATCAAAATATATTTACTAAATGACAATTTTACAACAGTTGTTAAAACCGTGTGTCGGTTTTAATTTATTTAAAAAATATTCTGACAGTAAATTTTTTATTATTTTACACCACAATTGACACGATATTGTATGCTTAAAAAATTATTAAATACATTTACTCATCGCAAAATTATAGTTAATACACTGTATCAAAATATATTTACTTAATGACAATTTTAAAACAGTTGTTAAAATCGTGTGTCGGTTTTAATTTATTTAAAAAATGTTCTAACAGTAAATATTTTGTTATTTTACACCAATCAACACGATATTGTATGCTTATAAAATTATTAAATATCTTTACTCATCGCAAAATTATAGTTAACACGATGTATCAAAATATATTTACGTGGTTCGGTTTTAATTTATTTAAAAAATATTTTGACAGTAAATATTTTGTTATTTTACAAGGTAATAGTGGTAGTATTACATGGCAATATTGTGTCAATTGGTGTAAAATAATAAAATATTTACTGTCAGAATATTTTTTAAATAAATTAAAACCGAGACATGGTTTTAACAACTGTTGTAAAATTGTCATTTAGTAAATATATTTTGATAAGTTAAAACACGTGTTTTTAAATTTGCATGTGCATCATTCATTAATGATTTCTTTAACTTCTTAAATTTCTCCATTTCAATTCAAAAGTCTTTCGGCACTCCATATTTATATGTCGTTGATTGGGAAAGTTGAAAATCACTTTCTTGAAACTGGTGTTACGGACGTGATTTTTTTATCGTTCGAGTCAAAAGTTGCGATCGTATATTTACTAATTTCGGAATGTTGCTTTTATTTAAAATATTTTTAAAGGTGATACTAGATGCTGTTTTAGGATAAATGAAATTATAAGAAAAAAAACACAGTCTTCATTATTTCTTTAATCTAACATGGCACTATAAACAAAATAAATCACTCTGTTATAACTAAAACAAATAAGTTCAATGAATTACGACGAAAATAAGTAAGTTTTCAGTTTTCTTTTAAAATCAGGCAGGTTCAACTCCGGATCTCTTGGAAAGGCAGGCAAATTGTTCCAAACAGACGGTCCCAAGACGGCGATGTTACGAGACCCCATATGAAAACTCGAAACTTGGACTAGCAGCAGGTTCAGATCATGAGACCTCAGATGCGCTCCAAAAGGAGGTGCAAACTTCTTTGCAAACATTTCTCACAAATAAGGTGGTGCAAGACGATTTATTGACTTGTAGACTAGAGTTGATATTTTGAAGATTATTCTTTTTTTACGGTTAGCCAGTGCAGTTGTTTCAGTATTGGTGATACATGATCATATTTTAAACCGCCGACAACAACCTTTGCAGCACGATTCTGCAATGACTGTAATACAGCTAAATGTTTATCAGGTAATTCGTAAAACAGACTATTACAATAATCAATTCGTTGTACTATTAGTTGTAATTAATTCAAATGTATTGAAATGTTGGTAGTTTTCCATATATAAAACTTTGTAGAAAAATATTAGTGTTTGATAGATATTTAGTTGCTCTATATTAAGAATTTTGTACAAGGTATATATTGGCTTGGTGTGGTCTAATTTAGATAGTGAAAAACATGTACGTAAGAACTTTTTTGGGAAACAGATAGTTTGTTAATTAAATATTTGGCCGTGCTCTCCCAAAAAATATTCCCATAGGTTAGATATGGAAAAAAGAGGGAATAGTACAACGTTATCATAACTGGTAACGTTAGTTTATTTCGTGCTCTATATATTATTCCATTAACTTTATATAATTTTGCTAGGATCATTTCAATATGTTTCGACCATTTCAAATCACTCTGTAACATGATACCCAAGAATGTTATTGAATGAATACGTGGTAGAATTACATCACCAACTTTTATAGATAGGTTATTGAACATGACATTGTTAGTTTTCATTTTAGGGCCAAACAAAATGTAACAAGATTTTTTCAGATTTAAAGGTAATTTATTATTTCTAAAAAAATCATAGTATCTATCCAATTACTCATTCACGAGACGAAACAAATTAACAGGATTACTGTCTGTCAAAAATCCACAAAAATGCTCAATGTAAATTGTTTGGATTCAAAGCCCTTAATTAAGGAATCATAGAGTTCAGCTATTGCCAGTTCAGTTGATGCTTTGGGGACAAATCCAAATTGGTTTTTATTAATTACATTAAATTTTTTTAAATAATCCCAAAACCTTAGAAAAATTAGTTTTTCAAAAATCTTGGAGAAAACAGGGAGTATTGAAATTGGTCTGTAGTTGACAAATTGTTTGGGATCTCCATTTTTAAAAATGGGTAAAACTTTTGCCAATTTCAAACTACTTGGGAAAATTTCTACCTTAATAGATTTATTAAAGATCTCAGAAAGTGGATAAGCTAAGAATTGGATTGTTTGTTTGAGAATTTTGGTAGATAATTTATATCCAAACTATTAATACATTTTAATTTATTTACTATTGAAATTATCTCAACAGGTGATGTAACAGAGAACCGTAAGGATGGAAAATTATAGTCAACTTTGGGGACATAATTGGTTGCAGTTGATTCAGATACATTGTTGTGACTGTTATTTAATTTATACCCATGATTAATGAAAAAATGATTAATGTCACTCCATTTTTCTTTGACGTTTTTGGAATTATTAATTTTGTTATTAAAGAAACATTTCTGTTGTAATCTTTTAATTTTCGTGAAATAATTATTATAATGTGTATATATTATTTTATTTTTTAAGGTAGGATTTAATAAATATATTTTATAGAGATTGTTTTTATGAGTTGAACAGTTATATAGCTCTATATTCATCCAGGATTTCCTAAATCTGTCTTTACAGCAGATTACTGGACAGACATTCATCTTGAGTTTGTGGAAACTGTGATATGCTTGTCAGTCAATTTATTGGCCAAGTTCAGTCCAGTAGAAGCTTGTAAATCATTTAGTTTTCCGATATATTTCCAATCAATTGCCCCTTAAAAATTCATTTAAAATGAATAAATTATGTGATTTATGTCATAGTTTTAAATTTTTAAAATTGTCCCGATTGTTAACCAGATGAGGAAATCAACTATTGGGAACTTTCCAACGTATTCCTTATTAAATTGAGCATATGACATGCATCAAATATTATATGTATTACATGATCATTTACGTAAAGGATGTTGTTGGGTTAAGTAGTTTCAGGTCACAACCTAATAGTCTACATATTGATATGTTGGTGGCCAGGCCATCCATGACTAAGGATACCACCTAAATGTTACCACAAGTAAGGGTTAGGGTTAATATAAAAATCCTTTTAAATCAACCTGTAAATCAATTTCTTAAAGTTCTTCGATGATTGAATAGATCAGGATTTTTTGTATTGATGCTATCAAACCATCAGTGCAGAAATATGCAATAGGAATTTTCCAATTGTCTGTTTAACCAACAATCGTCACAACCAAAATTTCTGCAGCAATTTCTTCAGTTGTTTTACCAAACCCCATATCTACAAAACATATTGTTATTTGTAAACAGTTAAGCACACAATTTTTAATAAATTAGTGTTGTATATTAAGTATTAACCCGAAACTGTGTCGTTACGCCTCAGATGTTGAAGGTGATTTTTGATGGACAATTACTATTACTATGCAATTACTATGCTACATTTTTTGCAAGTATATGGCTATATTTGCACCTTATTTTTTAAAAAAGCCAAAATTTGTTGGTTCACCCCAGGCGTACCATTGATGTTTTATGATTTTAGTTTTAAAAGCATTTATGAAATTGCGTGGATTTAAATATATTGTAGGGGATTTTAATTTTCCCAGAATTGATTGGGGTACTTTATCAATCAATTCTGAAAGTAAGTCAATTGAGAAAATATTTGTGAATTTGGTGAAAGATTTGTTCTTGCATCAGGTTGTACAAGAACCCACTAGGTTTAGATCTCTGTAGGCTAATCATGTTCTAGATTTTATATTGGTGGAAGAATTAGATGAGATTAAAAATCTTGTTCACCTGCCCCCTCTTGGTAAAAGTGACCACTGCATTCCGTGTTTTGAGGTGGGCTTGACCATTGATGTTGCTCATGAAATAATAAATAAAACCCGATTGAATTTTAACAAAGGCGATTATGAGTTGATGAAAAAGTACCTTCATAAAAATTTATATGGTATGGTATGCTTATTAATGAGTTGTCTGTGGCGGATCCAGGATCGTATGTAAACTCATTATGGTGTCATTTTTCAAGTGTAATAAACAGGGCAACTGAAGAACATATTTCGGTAGTAAAAATGGGAAAGAACAGTTGTAAAGGTGAAATCGTTGCAAGAATTGACAAAAATAAGGAAAAGATTATGGAAAAAATACATGAAGACCCGTGATTCATTGATTTTTGAAGAAGTGTAGCTCATCAGGAAAAATATAAAGAAAGAATTAAATCTGTTTAGGGATCAACAAGGATTAACTCTAATAAAAAAAATGAGAGATAATCCAAAAGTTTTTTGGCAACATATCAATAGAAAAAGAAAGAATAAACAGACGATTGATTGCTTAGTTGACAAGGGTGCTAATGAAGATAGGTTAATAACAAACAATCTGGACAAGGCAAATTGTTTGGGATCATTTTTCAGTTCAGTTTATATTGTTGATGTTGATAATGAGGGCATGGTACCAGACGTTGATATATTGCCAGATATGGAAAATGATATGTGTAAGGGTTCAACTACAGTTCCCAACAATAAAAGTTATAATCGTTCCCGAAATGTAGCGATGACTGCAAATGTGGACACCGGCTGTCACGTTATCTTCGGAGCTTCTGGCGGAGGCCTCGTTGACTGCCGACGTGTTGTCACTTCACCGCTGCTGAAATGCCGTGTCGTTTGTTGAGCACACTGTCAATTAACGTTTGCTGAATTGGTGTGCAGCTTGTTGAATGTGTTGTCAATCCACGTTGCTGAACTGACGTGTCGTTTGTAGAACGTAATATCGCTTCACGCCTGCTGAAGTGACGGGTAGGCGGGTAGGTTGTCGAACGCGTTGTCAACTCACGTATGCTGAATTGACGTGTCGTTTCGTTACTAGGCAGAGGTCTACGGTGATACAACTTTTGAAAATTATGGACATATGGACGGAAGTATTGGATGAAGGTGGCAAAATTGATATAATTTATACCAATTTTGAAAAGGCGTCGTTGTCATTTCGTGTACGGTAATTTTTATTTTGATCACGTAAAGAATATGGAAGTCTTAATGCATCATCTAAAAATATATTCAATAGGTAATCAAAATATATGACATAGCCTTTGAAAACAACATTCTTTGTGCTTATTTAAACTGGTACCTACTCCTAAGTACATGAGCTGCCCTGTAAATGTATTTTTGCCAAAGAATTTATATTTATTTTATATTGAATTTGTTCATTGCAAATGACGTTAAATAATATGTTGCCCTTTGATTTTAACAACAAATTTAAAAAAGTAAATTTAGTTAAAGCGAATAACTGAAATAATGAACGATGAAGAAGAAATTAATCACAACAACGAACTCGATCATGAAGAAAGAAACATTCGCAAAGTAGTGTTTTTATATTTGTTTCTCTAAAAGCATAAGTATATATCGGGGGTGGGCAAACTTTTTGTTGTGAGGGCCGCATTGAGAACTATTTTACCTTTAAAGGGGCGCATATGTACTTGAATAGCAAATTTTTTCGACCTGGGGAAAAATTGTTTAAGATTTGTGGCTCCTTTTTTGGTCATAGTGTTTGGCTGACAACCATTTTTTGGCGAACAAGGCCTCGCGGACCGCATAAAATAGCTTCGCGGGCCGTAGTTTGCCCACCTTTGGCATTTATAATATAATTAAATCACAAAATTTCAGTTTCTTATTATTGTTATTTACTATAGCAAAACACTAGCGTTCGCATCATCGATTTATCTCGATTTATCTTTCTTTCGATTTTTTTTACAACCTCTTGCCACTTTATCAAAATTAAATCACTTTTTGTTTAAACATAAATTAATCTGTTTAAGTATTTTTTACGTGGGAGACATGACACGGCAATATTTGATCTTTATATTACTATAGAATATTATGAGAATAAAAATTGACAATTTGAACTGCGGAGAACTTATTTTGAACGCACTTATTGCCTACCAATAGACAAAATGTCATACACCTCTGAAACCAGAGTCGCTCGCTTGAATAAATGGACCATCAAGATTGATCATTTTTGGAATCAACCTCGGGGCTCCTTAAACGCCGAAAATTACAGTCACAAGCTTTGCAGTTTATCGAACAACTGGTTTTATATAAATTTAACCAATTTATCAACAGCTGAAAGGTTTTTGCTAAAGTTTAATTTCAGCATATGACTTCAAAGGCGCATTTAGCAGGTTAAGCCCGTTTTCATATAGGCTGTTTGTGTGATGTTGATTCTTTTGAACTTTGGAAGAATGTAACAGACATTCATTAGATCTTTTTTCAAACTGGAATTATTATTTTTTATTGAACACGATAACCTTCATTTCACCGATTTTACTTTTTTACAGATTCAAATAAATGTTAAGGGCAACCTAAGTGCAACCCAGGGACGGTGTCTCAATGATGGATTCCGATAGCCTAATGGAACATATACATAATATATATAGTTGTCCCTTTGCGGCACATTTGCTTAATTACCTCTTACAACACATGGAGATGCTTTTTATAACGCAAAGACTTATTTATTTTGTTCTATATAGTTCCAACCGCTGAACTAGTTCCTCTGAACTATCCTTATATCATTTCTAAACTACAGTAATATAGTACTCACATGTTTATTTGGCGTTTTGTTATCAAATTAAATTGGTGTATTATATGCAACCAAATTATATATAACATAATCAATATTAATTGATGCAATAACCCACTTATTGCAAATTTATTCTATGCAACAGTTTATAGAATATGCATTACGTGAATATAAATTTATAATGCAATAATATTAAAAATTTTAAAAATTAGTAAAATTAACATATTTTTAGGCAAAAATCAAATATTGGAAATTTTCTGGCATAGTTCTCTCAAATATGCTTTTTCTAGTTCTCTCGATAATGCACGACAAGATTTGGTATTCGGGTCAAATTCCGTGGAAGAAATATGAATATTTAAATCTATCCAACCTGTTCTTTCGTAATTGTGGTTTTGGAACTTTATATATTATTTCAAATGTTCAATTTCCTATTTCTGACCTAATTTCTCAGGCATGTGTGTTATCGTGGTTTATCAAAATTATGAAATTACCTGCAAATGTCTTTTATTTTGAAAACATGGCTTTAAGTTTCGATGAGCAAAATTTTTTAATTATTTTTATTTGTCAAAAGTTTATTTTACTAAAATTTATACATTGGTTATTGAATAAAAAGAATTCATAGCTAAAATCAATTTATAATTAAAATTTATCAAAAATTAGTTTGTAAAAAGCGAAACAGTTGAAATTCCTTTATTAATAAAGAATTTATTTTTGAGAAAAAAATGTCGCCCGTGGTAATAACTGCAACTAGTTGAAAAATTACACATTAACGGTAAACAGTAAGCCAACCATTTCTGTTAACAGATAAAGAAATCTCATATAAAAACGAACCCCTTTTAAAATGATGAAAAAACACAAAGTATAACCATCGTAAACCCTAAACTAGAGAACAGAATGCACAAAACTCACACACACACGCACACAGACACACACACATATATATGGAAACATCCACTATTATAACTGATGAGTCCGTTGTGATCATGGTCGGCCTCCTCAATCATCTCCTCGATCTTCTCCATCATCTGAGCGCCGATGTTCCGAAACTCACTGACATTTATGTGACCCTTGTGTGGTGCGGTGTGGTGTGATAAAAAGTAAAAACAAAGTTTAGGTTTAATCTGATTGGGTTGATTATCCTGATACCGAGTTCATGTTAAAATTGATTGTTGATGTAGTTGATGGTTGATGTAGTTGGTTGAATGAGACGGTTATAGTAGTAGTAGTTGTCCTGTTGTCCAGGTTCGATTCAATGTTATAGGTTCTTACAATTATTCCCAGTGTGCGAAGATTCCTATCTAGATGTTGTATGTTCGGAATAAATGTTGAGAGTGATTGAAGTTGATTTATGGTTGATACAGTTGATTGTAGTTGTAGTGTCGGTCGGTTCAATTCCACGCATTGTGTTTTTGTAATCATTCTCGGAGAGCGAAGATTCTTATCCGGTTGTTGTATGTCCAGGTATGTGTGCGTACGTATATGTGTATGTTATTTGTTAGAGGATGTTACTGATGTTGATATGAAATATGTTTTTGTAGTGCAGGCAAAAAAACAGTAAAAAACACCCAGTAATACCAGCATGATCAACAACAACTTTAACATAACAATATCAACAGCAGCAAAATACCTTGTTGTTTGCATTGTTGGCAGCGTTTGTTTTACTGGCCATAGCAGCATTGAGATATCTTCTCTTTATTTAGTATCTTTGACCTAAATTTCGATGTGACGGTTGATTGTGACTTGTCTAAGTTTGTTAATTGATGGTTCCTCACTTACCCAATAAGTTAACAACTCTAATAATAAAAATCAAGTTGCATGCATATAAATATTTATTATTGTCCATTCAATAAATATTCATTCATTCATTTATTCATTCGTTCATTTATTTATTTATTAAGTTATTCATTCATTCAATCATTCACTCAATCATTTATTTATCCATTCATTCTTTCATTCATTATTTATTTGTTTATTTAGTTTCCTCATTTATCCCATAAATCTATCATTCCGATGTGACAGTTGATTGTGACCTGTCCACCTCTCAGCAGCACAATGCTAAAAATAAATCAAATAAACCCATAGAAAATAAATGAAAATTTATGTTAATTTAAGCAAACGACTGCCCAGGTCCTGTTTGATTGACGTTCGTGACGATTAAGCGGTTGAGGGAGCGTTGTTTGTCATCATTGAAATGAATGTTACTTCATGAATATTAATCACTGAACTACACAGCTTTAATCTATAATTATTTCTTGCTTGATAAACTTTCTAATTTAAATTTTTTTAACCAAAAAATATTTCGATTTAAATTCATCACCATAAAATTATATTTTATCAATTATTAAATTATTATTTAATCCCCTATATAGCTAAAACTAACTTAGCATACACACACAAGTATACAATCGCATATTCCCACATACACGCATACATATACGCATACACACACGTGCGCATACATACATACACACAAACACACACACGCATACATATACGCACACGTGCACACACGCAAATAAACTGAAGAGATTTATCTACTCAAAATCATCTAACGCAATATTCTAGGCTGACACGACAGTGCATGATAGACAACTTTAGTTAGTAAATGAAAAGTTTTTAATCTGGAAAAGTTGATTGGTACTTAGGAAAGAATGTTTTTGGTTGAGGTTGACCTTGCTGTTTTTGCTGTTGTGTTACCGTTTAGAGGCTTGTGTTGTTTATAATATTGTAACGACTTAAAAAATCTTTGGAGAGATGTGTAGAAAAATAAGAATCACAATTTATAGAGCATTCTAAATGTTAAGTTTTAAAGCCGTCTACAGTATTTGGACGCTGTTGTTTTTTTATTGTTGTTAGAGTTGTGTGTTTGTTGTTTTGATTTTGTTAGTTGTTGTTATGTTGATGTTACCGTTGTTGCTGTTTGTGTTGAGGATGTGCTATTTGATTGTGGTTGTTGATATTTTTTCCTTGTTGCTGTTGTTGTTGTTATGCTGCTGTTGTTGTTGTAGTTATGACTAGTTACATGTTGTTGCTAGCTCTGGTTAAACCATAGCAATGTTACCTTTTGGTGAGGTTTCAGTGATGTTGATGGTGTTGTT